AGTGCATGTATACGCACTCACTGTTTAGTGAGGCCACAAATTTTTAAATGTGGCACAATATCGGCAAATCAGAAAAGAGCTCATTTACATAAATCAGTCTAAGGCTGTGTTTTACCTGCTGTGGCCCAAATCTGATCTTTTTTTTTTTAAATGTGACACAGATGTGTGTCTGTGTGTCAGTGTGGACAGATAAACACACTGAATCTGACATTTTCAATTCCGATTTGAGACGCTTTCATATGTGGTACTGAAATCCGATACGTATCCAATCTGCGGCAATGCGACTCAGTCTGAACAGCCAGATCGGAATTCAGACTTTTACGTCAATCCAACTCGACATTCGTCATAATTTCGCGTTGCTGAGACTCATAAACATTTAGTCTGATGCTTCTGTGCTAAATGATTAGAGACTCATCAAAACCCTCCGTATTTGAAGAGATTTCTAAAGAAATGTCCGAACGCGGCCGCAGGAGAACGAGGCTGCAGCGTCAAAGAACAGTTAAAAGTCTGATAGCAAAGTTTGAAGAATCCGAGGACGCGAACCAAAGAAGTGACCGCGCCCTTTTTACGGCTCGAACACATTCTGGGTGATGAGCCCAGCTGTCAGTCAGTGAAGCTTCATGATGGCTCCTGTGATGCTGGTGAAGATGAAGCTGATCCTCCGGGAGCGACTGGCGTTCGTTGGCGGTCGTGATTGTTTACCTCTGGATGATGCACCATATTAAGCAACATGAAGCTCTGTTCTTTTTTGCATGCAGCTCAGTTTAGGAGCTGATCTGTTCAGACTGATGTCTCATACAGACCACATTTAAAACATATTGTGAACAGCCAAACAAAAAAATCTGATTTGGTGAGAAAATCAGATTTGGCCACTTTTACCTGCTGTGTAAACGTCGCCTAAAAGACACAGTTAGTATTAATCATGGACGGCACATAAACACACTGAAATGCTATAAGAGGCATCACTAATAATAATAAAAAAAAAATAAATTAAAAAAATAAGTTATGGGCCCTTTAATGACACCTAATAGAACAACACACGTTTATAAAGGTCTTACAAAATGAAAAAAAAAAAGTCATGAACTCGTGTTGTGTCAACTTCAAGTCTTCCAAACATGAAGAAGGAGGGAGGCTCCACACTCCTGGGTCAGAATCTTTAAGATTTATCTCCTATTTTTGACAAAAAGCAGCGTAACTGGAAAAGCTCACAAGAACTGACAACATTCTGCCCGCAGGCGGACGACCCAGCGCGGCTCTCGGCCGAACCGCTGTCAGTTCTTGTGAGCTCGCATAGTTACGCTGCTTTTTCATCAAACCAGGGAAATAAATCCTTAAGACGGGCGACGCATCAGCGATTTCTGTACCAGAATGTTTTTAATCCAAATGATCATGTTTTCATTATCGGTTTGCAGGAATTTACTACGTTAAAGGGCCCGTGTCCTACAACTGTCTTGCACTGATTTTTCCCCAAAGGTCCACTACATATGTGTGTGGTCATGTTTAAAAAAAAAATTATAATAACAATAATTCTTATTTACATGACCAAGTAAATGAGCTGTTCTGATTGGCTGTCCTGTACTGTGCCTCATAAGTTTAATGTGAGTCTGTGGGGCTGAATATGAAGACGTGTGTAAATAAATGTGTTGGTTTTTGTGACATCACAAAACAAATTACTCTTTTGTTTTTTTCCTACATCATATACAGTATAGTTCATATTTCATAAAAGCAAGGAAAATTTGTTTTTTCATGACAATGACAGAGTGAATAGGCAGAGCTAAACTGCTGTATCTACGCCTAGATTGTCTACATTGTCCACTTTATCAGCTCCACTTACTCTATAGGAGCACTTTGCAGTTCTACAGTTACCACTCAAACCAGCACAACACACACTAACACACCACCACCACGTCAGTGTTACTGCAGTGCTGAGAATGATCCACCACCCAAATAGTACCTGCTCTGTGAGGGTCCATGGGGGTCCTGACCACTGAAGAACAGGGTAAAAGGGGGCTAACAAAGTATCAGAGAAACAGATGGACTACAGTCTGTAACTGTAGAACTACAAAGTGCACCTATATAGTAAGTGGAGCTGATAAAATGGACAATGAGCGCAGAAACAAGGAGGTGGTCAGAATGTTATGCCTGATCGGTGTGTATATTGGTGAGTGTACAGTATGTTTAAAAACTTCAATAATGTTCTCATTATTACATCAAAATCAGTAAAATCTGATGATGGGCCCTTTAATTGAAAAGTCAGTCTAACTGCAATAACAGGCGGAGACAGTAAACGAGTGAAAAGCAGGCCGCGGGCCGTTCGCCTACCTGCACCTCGAACTCCTTGCCAGAGTAAAGTGGGAGGAGCTTCTCCATCATTAATCCGTGAAGAAGCTGGACGCTGCTGGAGCTGGAGACCACGTGCACCACCCTGCCCCCGCCGGGGCGCTCACCCTTAGCACTGCAGGACAGCTGACCGCAGTTCATCCTGTAGCCCAGCACATACCTGCAGGGGATACAGACGGACGGACTGCTTTAACGAGGTGCTGACCACATACTGACCCCCTTCAGCCGTCAATCACACTCACAGACAGATTTAAAGATCAGGCAGGACTGCTGTGATCAATTTGTTGACAGCAAGCAGCTTCTGAGTTTGACTAGTCGTGCCTAGTGGGTTCTTTAAAATGCAATCTAACTTTAACTCACCACTGAGGTCATGTATTATAGACCATTACAACAGTTCTGGATTGTGGGAGTTTGGGGCTGAATAAGAGTCACATTATGATATTTTATAGCAAGAAAAATTGCAATAACACAAAAAAAGCACATATACTATTTCTAAATAGAGCTTCTATCACTCCAGCCTTGGAAACAGTGGATTTAGAAGGGAGTAAAAGGGAAATTACACCAACTTTTCAAAATTTCTGCACAGACGATGACTCCAATTTAAACTTAACAGCCAAACAAAGGAAGATGTGGCTCGCTGGTTTAACATCGGCTAAAAAAATTATTACAGAGGTGGCTTCACCCACATAATCTAAGTGTACGACATTGGCTATTTCAACTGCATGACATAGTTATGTTAGTTTTGGCCACAGCTAGGATTAATAAAGTTAAAACATCTACTCTTGAGACACGGAAACAGATTTGTTGTGATGTGACAAAAAGATTGGAACAAAGGCTATGAGGTACATCTTGTAAGCTAACATTCTTTTTTCTCTCTTTTTTATTTTATTTTTGAGATGTCATCCTTTGCACTAAATCTTCCTTAGTAAATAGTATAAAGTATGTACAGGAAATAGGGATGGATGGACCAGTGGGACGCGGAGGGATGGGGTGGTAAGGGGGGTGTTTTTTTTGTTTGTTTGTTTTGGGTTTTTTTTTATTTCCTGCAGTTCTGTAATGTTGTGATAAAATGCTGCTTGATTAACAGGAAACAAAAAAAAATTGATCACAAAAAAAAGATTCTGCACAGAAATTATCATTTTATGTGAAATGATTCATTGTACATACAAATTACTGACTCTTTATCACCAGTGAACCCACTGATAATCTGAAATAATAAGTTTTCTTTGGGGACTATTTTGCCTTACAGCGCCCTGCATGTATCCCTCCACCATGAATGGAGTTTAAAAATACATTTAAGCCTAAAACCTTCTCAAAACATCAGGCAGTGAATTCATAACCATTTCATGTAGGAACTTTCTGTGAGGGAGCTTTTAGAGGTGGACGTCTGGTTCCTATCACCACCACTGTGAACAGTTCTGACTCTTAAGTTTCTCTAGAACGAACATTTCAGACCAAACCACTCTGAATGACTGTTTACACCGTAACCATTTAATTATTCAGGAATTTTGAAAAATTGGTGAAATTCCCCTTTAATGCCAATTCAATTATCTTACTATTTCTGTGCTGCCTTCTTGGCCGGGGCTCACTTCCAGAAAACATTTGATTACGTTGATTAATACGGTTATAGATTAATATTTGTACTGGATTTGTATATTGATACGTTTGGGAGAGATCAGATTGAACTCCATATTGATCGTGATCGATGTCCACACAGACCAGCACGCTCTCGTTCTCTCGCCAACCTGAGCAGCGGGTTCTCGATGATGCGCAGTTTGCGTTTGAGTGTCTCCATCTGCTCGTACATGCGCAGCCCCTCCACCATGGACACGTTATCCAGCTCCGACTCGGAGTCGCTGCTCAGGCCGTTCCGCAGGCTGGAAAACTCCCGGAACGTCTGGGAGCAGCGCTGCAGAACAGAGTGATACTCCTCCACCAGCCCCGCCGGCACACGGTCCTCCAGAATATCATAGTACCTTCAGAAAACAGGCAGACCGACATGAGGGGACCCTGATTTTGACTTTTCGAATTTACTATAGATTTACTATGACATAATATTTTACAATGTCGATACATAAAGTAACCACATCATAAACCTTAGTAATCAGATCATATACATAAAACATGATGATAATATGCAATAAGGAATGCATTCTTCCTTGACAGAATGAAATGATTGGGTTTTTATATTGACTTTTATAGTGATAAATTCCTAAATATAAAAATATATATTATAGACAATAAAACAGTCAGCAGATAATTAAGTGACGCTGGGTTACAGCGCCAAAATATCTGCATTTTATTAATTTTATTGCATATTTAACCACCTACAAATAAATATTACATTTCTATGATCACATTTTATAAATGTTTATGAATCGGCAGATATGCACATTTATAAAAAAATATCATATAGTAGCTCTGAGCAAGAATTCCCATATTGGCACATTCCTAAAATCCCTATAATCCACTCTTTGGTAAATAGTTTGGTAAATAACAGTTAAATAATTCTGAATCGGGTCTTAATAAACAAACAAAGGAACAATTATTCGGAGCGAATAGTCACTTTATGACCCGCTGAGTCATTTCCTAAAGAAAGGTAATGAAATCCTTGTGAGGTCACAGATTTAAACCCCAGAGTGAAGCGTGTCCAGGAGCTAATCCGGCCCTCCTTCTCATCGCACACCGTCTGCACGGCTGCATATGATGAGCTGTAAGACATAATAGCAATGAAGGATGTCCTGATTCGCCCTCTTTAGACGTCTGCGTGTTCATCCGACAGTGCACGTCCACCCTCACTGCAGCTCTTAAAGGAAAAAGGCAGGAAAGGCGCTTTACTGCAGCGGAGCAGAGCCCAGCCCAAATCAACAAGAGCTTAAAAAGAGTGTACTAGCACAGAATTAGCCTCATCTGCCACAGAATAAAAAAAAAAGTAAATTAGGAAACAAACACAAGACCCTCTGGCATTTAATTCTGCCTCACCTGTGAGAAAAAGCTGCATCGAGTGCTGTAAATGCTTTTGGTGAGATTTAAAAGTAATCCATAAAAACGAGCTTCATCCTCAGCCTGGGAGTAACAGCAGGTATCGAATAAAGTGGATGATAACATGAGAAATTAATTGTTTGGGAAACACTGCCACCTGGTGGTGAGTGTCGGAGTTGGATGACAGTGTAATGAAGCCACTGAGCTGATTTATTTATGCAAGTCAAAGCAGATACTGAACAGAATGAGGAATGGGCTTATTAGGAATAGTTTGGTAAACACTGCCACCTGGTGGTGAGCGTCTGAGCTGCGCAATAAAGATGGGGAACACAGTGGGTTAAGATGGAACTGTTTGGGGGGAAAATATCCAGTTTCTGACCAGCACTGGGATTGCAAATTAAATGCAACTATTTTCTCTAAATTAAGCTCCGGGGATTTTTTCCAGCACATCCTTTTTTTGTAATTAAGTTGGCTTGAAAAAGAAAAATTAAGTTGCTTCTGCTTTTCTAAGGAATCCGACGTACAGTTTTCATAAAATTATCGTTCAAATACAATAATTTTTTCCCCCCGTCTGAAATGAATGGGCGGAATGTTCAGGACAGAATTTAAGGTGGAGCTGCAATTGACATAGCAATAAAAATGTAAGGTGGCACAGAATTTAAGGTGTAACTCCATTTAAGGCAGCACTAAAATTAAGGTGGCACCGATTTTAAGGTGGAACTACATTTAAGGTGGCACTGAATTTACGATGGGACTACAATTAACATAGCACTAAATTTAAAGTGGCACAGAAATTAACGTGGAACTCCATTTAAAGTGGCATGGAATTAAAGGTGGAACTACAATTAACCTCACAATAAATTTAAGGTGGCACAGAAATTAAGGTGGCACAGAATTTAAGGTGGAACTGCTATTTACGGTAGCAACATTTTAACACCCATCAACGGTCTTTCACCATTTTAACGTTTTAACGTTATTAGCTGGCTTTCTCAAGCCAACTTAACTAGTTAAGGCTTGAAGTGCTCCAGACTGCCAGTTCACAAGCTCTGGGTTAAGTTTCTCCACTGATGATGTAAAAGTTGTTGAGAAAATGCTGAATAAATAAACTGAATAAACTTTCTAATTGAGATTGACATAAAAACAACTAATTGTCCCTCAGCAGGTGATAACACGGCATTTGGGTTGTGCACACCAGAAAGTTACTAACTCTAACCCCAACTTCAGATCTGCTTTTTATTAATGCAGTATTAAAGAGACAATATCCTACATTTGCCTTAGACTTTACTGCGAGTTCCTCTCATGACTTTTGTGTTGCTTTATGCATCGTTCATAATGTAAAAAGGCATAATGCATTTTCATATGATCATTTTCCAACATTTCTTGTCCTTTACAATTAAGCAGGCTGTGCCTTTAAGTGGCTGAGCGATGTATGTAAATGAGCTCTGTTCTGATTGGCTGTGCCTCATTCATAAAGCAGTCTAAGGAGAAACATTTAACCTCAGTCCGAGTGAGTGGAGCCAAACTGCTGTAGGCTGAATAGATTGGTATATGTAAGTGTTTGGGTTCTGTGACATCACAAAAAATAAAGACTTTATTTTCCATATTTGAGCTGCGTCTCCAAAGCCTAGGCTGCATTTCTCGACCGCTACGTCACAGCAGGCCGTTTCAAAGTGAAGGACCCTTCGTTTACAGCCTAGAGATGCCTACGTTCTGGGTGATTGAGGACACCACTGATGTGTCCTTCCAGGCCTTCGACTACCCACAATTCTCTGTGCACGAACGCGCGAAGGGGGGGAGGGAATAAATAAACGTTAAAAAAAAACCAACAGCACCATGAGTTGTTCACATCCTTGAATGTCTTCACGACCTTATAAAGTGTAAAACGATTGATTAACTGCCCATATATTTTAATCAAAGTATTTGTATATATAAGCTGTACTATATAAGCTTGTTGGCGTATTTAGCCGTTTCATTTGTGTGACCAACAGGCTACTAAGGAGGTCTTCATACTAGAGGTCTGCACGGGACTGGTTTTTCAGTCCCGCTCCCGCCCGCTCCCATGAGATTTCATCCCGCTCCCGTCTGCAATGATGATAACAGTTGTTATGGAGCAGGTGACAGGTGATAAAGATTACCAGTAACAGAAGAAATTATAAGAATTTATTAAAAATCATATAAAATAATAACAGGGGATCAGATTACAGAGATAAAGATCAAAGAGTTGTACGTTTCACTGAAGCGCTGAGTTAAAGAGCTGCGTTTTCAGATATTTATTAAAAGTGAGCTCTGAGCTCGACTGGCTAATAAAAGCTGAACTGAGCTCCACAGTTTAGAAGCAGAATAACTGAAAGAGTCTCTCCACGTTTTCTGTGTTTTACTGAAGGAGTTCAGAAGGTCAGAATCTGCAGATCTGAGATCATAAACAACACTCAGGAGCTTTAAGGTCATTTAGGGACAAGCGCTACAGTGCGAGCGCTACAGCTCGGACGCGCTGGCCTTTCATACATGCAGCATTTAAGCTGCAGAGCAGCGAGACAGTCATACAGACATTTCTGCTTCCAGACGGATAAATGGTCACTTCAGTCACTCTGATTAATAAAAGTATAATTTATGAAAGTACACGGTATATCTGTTTATCACGGACAGCATTCTGACCTCTGATTAGGCAGACGTTTCAAGCCTGGTTGACCAACCGGGAATCTGTCCGCAGCACGGAATGTTTATTTCGCCCATGAACTACATAAAAAAACGCATTTTAATGTTTTTATATGTCCTTTCTGGATTTTTCATTTATTTTCATGGCTTATTTCAGTGTATTTAGCTGCGTGACGCGCATGGAAAAAATCTGCCCCGGGTCTTTTCTCTAAACACCGCTGTGCTTCAGTGCGGCGCCTTCAGCCTGTGTGAAAGCGCTGATCACTGAACATTGCCACCGAAATGAAAAGGAAGACTTTCCGTATCGCTCGTGCCGTGCAGACGCAGTATACATGAATCAGGCCTATGAGAATCTGCGTGTTGTCCACGTGAACGGCTGCTCAAGAATAACTTTATCCATTTTAACTGTTTTATTGTCATCATTTTATACTGTTTAGATGTATGTTTTAGTGATCGTTCTACTTCATTTAGGCTACTTATTAATTTGCACGATTTCTCTGTATGCATGTTTCCGCCCGTCCCCACCTGAAGGGATCTAATTTCCGCCCGCGCCCAGAAGCAACACTGACAATATCATCCCGCACTGCAAGACACCGTGTCGGGTCCGAGGTAGTGTAGACCTCTACTCCATAGGACAGTCCTACCGAGGACCCGGCCTACCTCGGCTGCAGCTTAGGCTCTGGAAGGCAGCTACAGACTGTATGGAGTGACGTGTGAACGGTACGTTTCAAAACTTTAACCTTTACATACCAAATCAGATCTTTACTTAAAGAAAGGTGAGAAAATTCAGTTTTCCTTGATACCGGCCCTTTAAAAGCGCACAGAGATGACACTTCTTTCAGGTGTTCAGGAACCCAACAGGTATAGTTTTTGCATATACATCATTTTCTTCTTGACAAAAACTAAACTAGTAAACTCCCATAAGCTGATTTATCTAGAACCTTGAGAGTTCCACTTGTAAATGTGACTGTGGCTGTTTAAGTGCACCTTCCAAGTCAGAAAATAGGTGTTTCTCATTATAATGAATGAATAAAGTAATAATTTGGTAAACGCTGCCACCTGCTGGTGAGCGTGTGAGCTGCGTGGGAGTGACAACGTGCAGTGATTTACAGACAGCGACGGTGAAAGAAGCTGAAAAGCCACACTCACAGTCTGAGACGAGGCTCTACGCAGCGAACGAAGTAGTCAAACTCATCATCCTCATCTTCCTCGTCCCACTGCCTCCAGATGTGCTTGTAGAAAAACCTGCAGAGCAATAAGGGCAAAGCAGGCGTTGACTGTGATGATGTGTTACTCATTTTCACGTTAAATCACTCGTTTCTGATCGCGTGCTGGGTTTGATCAGCACTCCTAGAACCCTGAGCACCTGCACGATCATAATAAAAGACTAAGATCAGGTAAAAGCATTTCTCTACTTTTAAGCAGCTGAAGAGTTTTTATTCTTTATTGGAATATTATTTTTACTTTCTTTTTAGTTGGATTTTTATTTATACTTTTATTGTGTACATTTTAATTTTAAATATTATTAATATAGCCCCTTTTCTACTATTGCTTTTATTTTTCTTTACCTTTTTTTTCCCCTTTTTTACTCTGTATCGTTAAAGCAGAGCTGCTTTATTTCAATGTATGAAAGTTGCTATATAAATAGTATTATATACATTATAAAGTTTATTATTATATTATTATTATTATTATTATTACTATGAGAGCTTGCAGAATACTAATTGCAGGAACTGTAAGGTAGCAAGTGGACCATTATGACCATCTTATTTAATTTATTTGTTTTTAACAATTGTTTGATTATATTCCTTGTGTTCCTTCTTAAATATTTACTTTTTGCAAATAATAATTATAATAATAATAATAATATTAATAATAATAATAATAATAATAATAGTAATATTTGTTATGGAGCTGTTTTCATGCTGGTTTTAGCTCAGGGTACAGACAGGTGATAAAGATTACCAGTAACAGAAGAAACTATAAGAATTAATTTAAAAATCATTAAATAATAACAGAGATCAGATTACAGAGATAAAGATCCAAGAGTTGTACAGTTTTACTGAAGCTCTGAGTTAAAGAGCTGCGTTTTCAGATGTTTATTAAAAGTGAGCTCTGAGCTCGACTGGCTAATAAAAGCTGAACTGAGCTCCACAGTTTAGAAGCAGAATAACTGAAAGAGTCTCTCCACGTTTTCTGTGTTTTACTGAAGGAGTTCAGAAGGTCAGAATCTGCAGATCTGAGATCATAAACAGACACTCAGGAGCTTTAAGGTCATTTAGAGCATTTAGAGGTGGGCGATATGTCCATAATATCACATCACAACACAGACATTTTCGACGATACATGATACGCATCTCGATATCTGACACAAAAATATATATGATAAAATATTGTCATACTGCCCACCAGCACCTACAGACCCCTCCTACACTGACAGGACCTACAGAAGCCCTGAAGTAGAGAGACGAACCTGAGATGCTCCAGAGCCAAAGCCGTCTGATCAAAGTCTCCAGACTCATCATAAACGGCGTGGAGCTCCTGAAGAGGCACTTTATTCATAGTGGCCTCCAGTAACGTCTTCATGGCCTCCTCTGTGAGGTCACAGCCACGAGCCTCGCACTGCAGCGGCAGAACCAGCTCCACCTTCGCCCGCAGCTCCTTATAGTCCACGTCCACCACCTACACAACACAACACACACAACATGTACAATATACACAACGTCCAGCACCTACACAACACAACACACACAACATGTACAATATACACAACGTCCAGCACCTACACAACACAACACACACACAACATGTACAATATACACAACGTCCACCACCTACACAACACAACACACACAACATGTACAATATACACAACGTCCAGCACCTACACAACATAACACACACACACAACATGTACAATATACACAACGTCCAGCACCTACACAACACAACACACACACACACAACATGTACAATATACACAACGTCCAGCACCTACACAACACAACACACACACCCAACATGTACAATATACACAACGTCCAGCACCTACACAACACAACACACACAACATATACAATATACACAACGTCCAGCACCTAGACAACACAACACACACACAACATATACAATATACACAACGTCCAGCACCTACACAACACAACACACACACACAACATATACAATATACACAACGTCCAGCACCTACACAACACAACACACACACACACAACATATACAATATACACAACGTCCAGCACCTACACAACACACACACACACAACATATACAATATACACAACGTCCAGCACCTACACAACACACACACACACAACATATACAATATACACAACGTCCAGCACCTACACAACACAACACACACACACACACAACATATACAATATACACAACGTCCAGCACCTACACAACACAACACACACACACACACAACATATACAATATACACAACGTCCAGCACCTACACAACACAACACACACACACAACATATACAATATACACAACGTCCAGCACCTACACAACACAACACACACACACAACATATACAATATACACAACGTCCAGCACCTACACAACACAACACACACACACAACATGTACAATATACACAACGTCCAACACCTACACAACACAACACACACACACACAACATGTACAATATACACAACGTCCAGCACCTACACAACACAACACACACACAACATGTACAATATACACAACGTCCAGCACCTACACAACACAACACACACACAACATGTACAATATACACAACGTCCAGCACCTACACAACACAACACACACACAACATGTACAATATACACAACGTCCAGCACCTACACAACACAACACACACACAACATGTACAATATACACAACGTCCAGCACCTACACAACACAACACACACACAACATGTACAATATACACAACGTCCAGCACCTACACAACACAACACACACACAACATGTACAATATACACAACGTCCAGCACCTACACAACACAACACACACACAACATGTACAATATACACAACGTCCAGCACCTACACAACACAACACACACACACATATACAATATACACAACGTCCAGCACCTACACAACACAACACACACACACATATACAATATACACAACGTCCAGCACCTACACAACACAACACACACACACAACATATACAATATACACAACGTCCACCACCTACACAACACAACACACACACACACACAACATATACAATATACACAACGTCCACCACCTACACAACACAACACACACACACAACATATACAATATACACAACGTCCACCACCTACACAACACAACACACACACACACAACATATACAATATACACAACGTCCAGCACCTACACAACACACACAACATATACCGTATACACAATATACACAACGTCCACCACCTACACAACACACACAACATATACAATATACACAACATCCACCACCTGCACAACACAACACACACAACATATACAATATACACAACATCCACCACCTGCACAACACAACACACACAACATATACAATATACACAACATCCACCACCTACACAACACACCCAACATATACAATATACACAACATCCACCACCTACACAAACACACCCAACATATACAATATACACAATATACACAACATCCACCATCTACACAACACACCCAACACAAACAACATACACAATATACACAACGTCCACCACCTGCACAACACAACACGCACAACATATACAATATACACAATATACACAACGTCCACCATCTACACAACACACACAACATATACAATATACACAACATCCACCATCTACACAACACAAACATATACAATATATACAACGTCCAGCACCTGCACAACACAACACACACAACATATACCGTATATACAATATACACAACGTCCACCACCTACACAACACACACAAACAACATATACAATATACACAACATCCACCACCCACACAAAACATACAACATATACAATATACACAACATCCACCATCTACACAACACAACACAAACATATACAATATATACAACGTCCAGCACCTACACAACACAACACACACAACATATACCGTATACACAATATACACAACGTCCACCACCTACACAACACAACACACACACATATACAGTATACACAATATACACAACGTCCACCACCTACACAACACAACACACACAACATATACAGTATACACAATATACACAACGTCCACCACCCACACAACACACACAACATACACAATATACACAATATACACAATATACACAACGTCCACCACCCACACCTGTTCCTGAGTGTCTCTACATGCAGCATGTCACACTCACTTCAATCAGAACATCAAACACGTCGGTGTGCCACAGCGCCTGCCAATCACACGGCTCCACCACCTTCTCCAGGTAATCCGCAGTGAAGTCCTTCACCTCAGACGGTTTACAGTCCCCTGTAAGAGAAAGAACCGTACTAAGGAAACAGCAAACACTGTGAAAAACAGACACTATACTATAAAACACTAATCATTACGTCAATATGAAGTGTGTGGAAAAAACAAAGGAGATACAGAAAACCTTACATAACACCAAGCCAGCATATATGACTGATACAGGTCTTCCATATATGAATAATGTTTTTAGCATTTTATTAAATATGTGTTACATGTGACCAATTTAACTGGGACATAAGTAGAGATGCATCAATACCATTTTTTTCAGACCGAGAACGAGTATTTTTAGTATTCGCTGATAGAGTCCAATACTGTACTGAATAACCTACTTAGAATGAAGTAGTTGTTAGAGTGTAATGTAAACGAGTGTAATGTACCTTATCATTTAAATCATTAAACTCTGATTTTAAATGAAGTGCGTTAGCTAGCTCTGCTACATTAGTGATCTCTGTTAGAGCAGCGCTGCAGTGGAGAAGAGCTGGTTTAGTTCCTTGTCAGAAAAGCTCTTCTGTACAGCTGTAAGTAAAGTAGGTTTCATAGTTTTGATCCTGATCTGTCTGTGTCAGCAGCAGCACAGCGACAGCAGGAATCACATCCAAGGCTTACGCATCTGAGGAGCTCACGCTTCCAGTTGACTCTCACTGTACGTTTGAATAGACCATCGTGTTCAGACAAAGCTACGATTTATAGACTCGCACTGAACGTAACGCTCCGTCTGACTGACCTGCTACGTTAAACGCAGCCTCTACAGACGCTCTGTCTACAGACCGTAATCAATGAAGCTGATTCATTCAGAATAACACGAGTACTGAGCAAACACACTGAGACACTGAGCAGCACTGCTAACACTGAGCACTGAAGCTAAAGCAGGCGGTGATGTTCACGGTAGGACAGTTCGGTCTCTACAGCCTGATTTACAAACACAGCACTGTATTAATGTTTATACCTCATTATTACACTCAAACAGAGTAAAGTCGCTTATATGGACTTTGGTAGGAAATGTCGACTTTTTCTCCTCCGTTTTGTTGGCCTGTGTGTCTCCACCCGTGTTGCTGACGCGGTTGTGATTGCGCATTTATAAACGGGCTAAAATCACACAGTGTATCCTGTTGGGAAACTGCCAAGGCGGAATGTTTAAAGTGACCAATGGCTTTGTGTCCGACTGTGACGGAGTCAGTAACTCTTCTCTGAGTGAGCAGATCCTGCTTCACTGATAGTTTGCTCATTAGCGCGGCAGCTACACTCAGCTTAGGTCACATGGTGTCAGCGGGTATCGGTGAACTTCTGAGTACAAGTAAATGAGCACGATATCAGCCCAATACCAGTATCGGTGCATCCCTAGATCTAAGGGAAACCCATATATGCTTACATTTGTCACATATTTGAAAGTCACCTAGGGATGCATTGATACCACTTTTTCTCTTCCAATACCTGATCCTTTAGTATCGGCCGATACAGAGTACCGATAGAGTACCAATACCAGAACTAACTATCTAACCTAACTCACCTATAAGTCCTGATATTTACTCAATTACATTTTTTAAATATTTTATTTTGGTAAAATCTATGTTCTGCATCACAAATAAAACATACTCAGCTTGGCTAAAAAGCATTTACCAGTTGAATTACATTCATTAGATGCTTTAGAAAATGTGGTTTTGATTATGCACTGTATATTTAGTATTTACTAATACATAATTAGTAATAAGAATCATGTTTAACAACGATAAGTAAATGTAGCTAAAATATCTTTACTGTGCAAAACAGTTAAAGACAGAACTGAACAGTATTCAGATAAACCTGTGGTGTTTACACATCAGCATACAGAAGCTTCTCCGGCTCAAAAACTGGCTCACCGCAGGTGGGGATAGTGGGCACACAGGCCCAGCTAGCGGGCTGCTATGCTGAAAGCTAAATTGAGGCTAAAGGCTATCATTACGCCGAGAGTCCGGTGGTTCCTTTGGCTCTCTCAGTAACATTAACTCAGACTGTGAGTGACCACACAGTGGCAGACGAGTGATTACTGAAAGAAGCAGTTCAGCCATTCAGGTACGCGGCTCCGTTAGCATGTTTTTGACACCAAAAACTGCCATTACAGGTTCTGCCACGAGCGTCTGTACCGCTGTTTGTTGTCCCACACGCCGACATGTCGGTAAGTTCTGTCTACTGGCGCATGCAGGATCAGAAATTGCTTCGTGGTGTCAGTCACAGGTATCGGTATCCCCATCAGGTGCAACACTAAAGTCACCTTTTGCCATATATCAGAATTCCGGTTTGTTTCCATTATTTTGTCCCCGTGTGGTCTAATATAACCCACAGTGAGAGTGCTACGGTAGGTGTAAATGTTTTGTGCGTATTTACCCAGCATGTAATCCTGATATGCTTTAAATCTCTCGTAGAAAACCAGGTGACTGGTCTGGAAGACGTGAGGCAGCCCCCCGCTACCGAACGGCTCGGCCCGCTGTAAATGTGTGCACGGCTTTTCTTCGTTAGAGAGGACATCTGTGCCGCTGTCATCTTCACCATCATCATCTTCATCATCTTGCTCATCAGCATCAATATCTTCACCACCTTCATCCTGAAACAGCTCTAAATAAAGTGGAGACTGTTACTGCCGATAGCAAATTAACCAATAACATTAGTCCAATTTGACTCTTTTAACAGGGTTAGTCAGATGCGGGTGATATGACAATATCAGTATTAGTGTGACAGTCACATACAGCTGCACTCAAAATTATTCAACCCCCTCAAAGTGCAAGGAAGTTTGGTAATACAAATAAAATGTAACGAAAATCCATCAACCAAGGCAGTAAACAATCAAAAGAGGTTTATTACTACATTTGAGTAATTTTAAGAACATAAAGTTGAGTTTACTATGAACATTTCAAATAAAAATGTACACTCTCCACAAATGTCGATGTGCAAAATTATTCAACAATTATTCATGTCCTTTTCTCTTTGCCTTGTTCATTGCTGAGCTTGAACACATACATGGGTGTGATTTATGTACACCGATCAGACATAACATTTTGACCACCTCCTTGTTTCTGCGCTCATTGTCCATTTTATCAGCTCCACTTACTATATAGGTGCACTTTGTAGTTCTACAGTTACAGACTGTAGTCCATCTGTTTCTCTGATACTTTGTTAGCCCCCTTTTACCCTGTTCTTCAGTGGTCAGGACCCCCATGGACCCTCACAGAGCAGGTACTATTTGGGTGGTGGGTCATTCTCAGCACTGCAGTAACACTGACGTGGTGGTGGTGTATTAGTGTGTGTTGTGCTGGTCTGAGTGGATCAGACACAGCAGTGCTGCTGGAGTTTTTAAACACCTCAGTGTCACTGCTGGACTGAGAATAGTCCACCAACCAAAAATATCCAGCCAACAGCGTCCTGTGGGCAGCGTCCTGTGACCACTGATGAAGGACTAGAGGATGATTAGCTATCTTCTCTGACTTTACATCTACAAGTTGGACCGACAAGGTAGGAGCGTCTAATAGAGTGGACAGTGAGTGGACACAGTGTTTAAAAATTCCAGCAGCACTGCTGTGTCTGATCCACTCGTACCAGCACAACACACACTAACACACCACCACCACGTCAGTGTTACTGCAGTGCTGAGAATGATCCACCACCCAAATAGTACCTGCTCTGTGAGGGTCCATGGGGGTCCTGACCACTGAAGAACAGGGTAAAAGGGGGCTAACAAAGTATCAGAGAAACAGATGGACTACAGTCTGTAACTGTAGAACTACAAAGTGCACCTATATAGTAAGTGGAGCTGATAAAGTGGACAATGAGCATAGAAACAAGGAGGTGGTCATCACGTTATGCCTGATCGGTGTATTTCCACCTATAGTAGCAGAATCATTTTACATTACCAGTGTTAGTTTATGCACAAATGATTAATGTTAATAAGTGCCACTCCACCTTAACCTCCAGCTGTAACTAACAGATCTAATATTACCTCAGTGACAGCGAAAACTGTCTTTTCTACTCTTCTAATTTATTTTATTTATAGGGAAGAGCCACTGAGAGCTAAGGCCTTATTTTTCGGGGTGCCATAGTACAAAATCGTTTTGTGCCATCACACAAAATGCAATAGACAAGGAGGTAAAGATATAAAAAAAATAATAAAATGAATTGTAATAATAATGACAAATAAAAGAAAGTTTAAATAGATTATGACAATTTAAACTACAAACATAACATCACAGCCACATAAAAACACTGAGTCAGTTTTATCTTTAAAAATACTCAACTTAATAATGTTAGCATATTAATAGTGTCGGTTTAAGTGAACAGAATTAACGTTAATAAGTGCCACTCCACCCAAACCTCAAGCTGTAACTAACAGATCTCATTCTCTCTCCGTGACAGCAGTCTTTTCTACTTTTTTAATAATGTTAATGTATTACTAGCGTCATGTTAAGTGAACAGAATTAATGTTAATAACTGTCGCTCTGTATCTCCTTTACCTCACCAAGCTGAAGTTCGAATTTTCCCGTTCCACCTTAAATGGTGCAGCAGTTACACTCTGGCTGCTCAACGCCAGAACATAACTGCTGTACCATTTAAGGTGGAACGGGAAAATTCGACTAAGAAGCCAGTTTTAGCAGCTTTAACCTCAGTGTCAACTCTGCCCTTCTCTCTCCTTGTCTTTTCCGAGTTTACAGCATAAATTAAAGCTCATTAAAGTTCAGTAAAGTCTCGTTTCTGGTACCTCTTGGTGACATTTTGGATCCGGGTTCCGGTTCACTCTGAGCGGGCTGCTGATCCTCCACCAACCGCTGCAGCTCTCCACCCTCAGATAAACACAGACCGCCGCCCTCAGACATCATCTAACTCAGCTTTAATATCCAAATACTCAAATATCGACACGTCTGAATGTGTAAATACCTAAATATGTAAAAATATAGCTGTACAAATCTATAAATATATGAATATGTAAACAAGTAACGGCTCCTCGCTGTTCGCTCCAAACCTGCTGCTTTCAAATTTTCCCCGCAAGACAACGGACCAATAGGAATCCATCTTGGGTACAGCGGACCAATAGAGAGCGACTTCACCACTGAGGGGTGGGACTGTGACGAAACCTTCGTTTTTAAAGGGGCAGGCACCGAAACTCGGCTTAAAAAACAAAGATTGTCGATTAAATATTATTAAATAGTGTTTATTACACTACATTTCAGCCTATAATTGGTCCAATCTTATATGAAATGAGTTTTTCATAAGATTTAAACCTCTAAAAGAGAGGATAGATCTACGATTTAATATAAAAAAAATTAAAAAGGGGAAATGTCATCCTAACGTTTGCTGCAGTGAGGTTGTAGTGTTTTAGGCTTTAGTTGACTGGCTTAAAAATAATAATAAAACAGTTTTAAAGCTTCAAAATAAAACGAATGGGTTACAATGACTTCGATATGATATAAATATGATTTATTATTTTTATTTTAATATCATTATCATTAATATCATTTTATTATCATTATTATAGCCATTGCAGCAGTGTGCAGCGGCGCGTGGTTGTGTGTGGGTGCTCCGATTAAAATTCAATAAAAGGATAAGCAGACGAATCAGTGTTGCTGTGGGTGATTATATAGACCTGCTCACTCACTCACTCGGCGCTCGGCTTACCGCACTGAGAGCTCATGTGGATCCAACATGGAGAGTAAGCAGCATTTAATGTTACAATTATTTTAAAAATTCCTGCTAAAACTTGATGTTATGAGTTTTTTCTCCTTTTCTCTTTTTTTAGTCCTTAACTAACTATTGGCCTGATTATAACTAGGTAAACGAGAGCTGCTCGGTTCGTTTATTTACGTTTGTTACGTTTTAGTGTAGTTAGATTATGAGTTAAAGGGGAATCCCAGCGCTTTTGCAAAATTCCTCCATAATTGAGTGTGTGAGATGTAAACAGAGTGACTCAGGGTTTGGTGTGAAATGGTTCAGATGTCTTTACAGTGGTGGTGATAGGAACCAGGGGTCGCCATGACTACAACACAGATATAGACATTTTATTTACTATCCAGAACCACCAGTGAACCTACACGAGTCTTCTGAGTTTATATGGAATGTTGATGATGGAAAATAGTGGAAAATCTGAAATAATAAGTTTTCCTTGGGGACTATTTTGCCTCACAGCACTGTATTATGTATCCCTCCACCATGAACGGAGTTTAAAGCTATGTTTTAGGACAAAACCGTCAGACATCAGGGAGCGTATTCATAACCATTTCATGTAAAAACCTCTTAAAAGAGAGAGCTTTTAGAGGCTTTCCAAGTTTCTGACTCTCAGCAGCAGATATGTATGATAAGAACTTCAGAATATTAGATATTGGCATCGGCCCTTAAAGGGGAATAAAACCAATTTTTCAAAATTCCCACATAATTAGTCAGTTAAGATGTAAACAGAGTCGTTCAGAGTGGTTTGGTGTGAAACGCTCCGTTCTAGAGGAACTTAGAGAGTCAGAACTGTTCACAGTGGTGGTGATGGTTATTGCATGAAACGGTTATGAATATCCATTAGTCATTTTCATATCGAAATCATAAGGTGCAACTTCAAACAAGCCTCAAACCAGAAAAAGAGGTTTTTGTAAAAACTATGGAACATGATCACATTTAAAATCACAGTTACAATTTTGTTTCCTCCAAGTACAGACACTAACTCTCTCTCTCTCTCTCTCTCTCTCTCTCTCTCTCTCTCTCTCTCTCTCTCTCTCTCTCATGTTTGCAGAAGTGGTGTTGTCCAGACTTCCTAAGGATGAAAGGAAACTTCTGGGAGTCAGGGTGATCATTATTTCCTGATCTGTATTTACAGTGACTGAAGTCAAACCTGTCCAAATGTTCAGCCACTGTCTGTGTTTACATGCAAATCCAATCCGATTGAACACATTCCGATTATAGATGAAGACTGCGGTGTTTATTCTCGCTCTACTCAACAATCTGATGGAAAATCTCTGTTTACTTGCTCACTACAAGTAGAGAACCACTTAGTGTAGACGTTACCATGACAACCAGCATCCCGTGAGTCCAGTCAGAGTGAGATGAGAGGCAGTGAGCAGTGCTTGTGTTTTTAATTATTTTAAAATGATGTCAGACTCAAGAAAACGTGCTTCACATGTCCTTATTAAAGAAGGCCGAGAGGAAGACGTCGTTTTCTGAGACACATAAGCTGGACGTCCGTCCCACCGCCGTCTTTTAAAGATCAGAGCATAAACTTCGTCTCCTCTGCAGACCAGTTTCTGCTCCCACCAGAAGATGAGAGATGAGAAATAAGCATACAAATAATCAATCAGGAAATAAGAAGATAAATAAATAAATAAATGATGATAATTAAACAAACCAGTACAGAGAAATATCAGTCAATTCAAGGAGACAAAATATAGTACAGAATTATAAGAAGGACTGTTTGCATAAAATGCCACAATCAGAGCTCAGGTTCCAGGTTTTCACGGCTTCTTATTACAGGAGGAAGATGAGGTTTTCACACAGTATTCGACATCTTTGATATAGTGAGAAAAAAGGGGTGTTTACTCTTTTGCCCCTTACATTTATGAATATAATACTCTTCCAGCAAAATAAGTAGATTACATAAAAAAAATATTCACTTTTTGAATCATTTTGGTCATTTATAAACCCAAATAAAAGATTTTCAAAATAAAGTTCAAACTCACTATAAATAAACTCCACAATAAAGCGAGTTTTATCACAAAGCCAATATAGATGAAAAAGAGTTTCTGGGCCACACAAAGTACATCTTATATCAATGGATACCTTAAATCTTGACACCAAAAGGGATTTTACTGGATAAATTTGGTGAATAAGCTTGTAAGAAAACCTCCACGACTTTATTTAACAGTAAATACTAATTGGGAAGCGTCCAAACCTTCTTCCAACCGATGTTTTTAACAGATTTGCTCGCAAGTGGAACAGAAACATCATTCTGGAACAAAGCACGAAACTTCTGATTATTTTTTTCTTGAGATGCTCCCACCATGTTGAACGTTATGACACAACCACACATGCGCAGAACGTACTTAAACTTTCCGATAGGGAATGTAATCAGATACAGGCGTTTACACAGATATGATTCTTCTATTTAACAGATTATTTACAGGATCACCCACCTCGATCAGTCAGATAGAAACTGTATTCCGAATGGCCTTAATCAGACTGGACTATTCCGATTGAGGTGTTTACATGGGCGTGTTCTATTCCGATTGAGCTATTAGTCAGATTATTAACAGATTATTAAGATGCATGTAAACGTGGCTATTAAGAACCTGCATGTAGCGTTTACTGATTTTCGTAGTTTATCTCTGTCCAATAAAAGCGTTTTAGAATTTTTTAACTGCTGTGTAAAATCTGTGTTTCTTATTGGGCCTTTTTAACACCCTGATTTACAGGTGAGCGATATAAAGTATAACATCGTCATCATCATCGATATTTTCAATATGCATCACAATATTCAGTTTTTCTGAGACTGAGAAGTGAAAGAAAGCAAAGAAAAAAAACACTTTAAATAATATTATTAAAAACTGAGAAGAATATTTGTGTTTAGCACGTCACACACTGTACTGCATTAAATCCAATTAAACAGGCCTAATTATGCTCCCTTTGTAATGAAACATAGTCGGTCAGTGTTCTGTAAGTACCAACAGTGTTCACAATGTGCTCAGAATAGAGTATTATGACATGATTTATCACGATAACGATATAATATCGTCATATTGCCCACCCCTTTGATTACTTGCTGAATCACCAAAACAATAATTGTTAGATTATTTAATGTAGGGATGCACCAATATGGGAATATGGGCCCGTATCCAGTATTTTTCCATGTTCATATTAGGGACGAGTCGAAATGTTTGAATATTTGAATAGTTTAAAATGTGTAAGTTTTAAAAAATTAATAAATATTCAGTATGCGAGTCAGCTTGTCTTTAACGTGATGCAGTATCGTACTTAAGAACCGTGAGCTGTCTGAACGCTATCGTCCACCAGAGGGCAGTGCAGAGCTGCGTCTTATGCTGTGGTCAGAGTTTCTAATCTGTTTGCGCAGGAAGATTATTTATAAAGTGTAGAAACTGGGGCTGGATCAGTCTGGATTATGACGTAATATTTATTTCTATACTGTTATAAATGCAGTTAAAGGAATAAACTGAATAAAAATGCTGATTTTTTTTAATGCAGTAACCCAACGTCACCTAAACATTCTGCTCTTCTGGAGTCATCATCGCATATCAGTCTGAAATATCAGCCACATCTAAACGTCTGTCTGATATGATAAGATTCTGATATTGTTGAGCATCTTTATTAATTACTGTACTAATATATTTGGCAGTTCAGTGTTTTCAGGAGATGAATGACTTAATCTCTTCACTGTGTTCAGTCTCAGCATGGCACGGCTGCGGAGAAGTTCACCAAGGCGTTCCTGAAGAACAGCATTCCTCAGATGACCAGTGTTGCGATCGCAGACGTTCTGCTCCGCCGGGCGGTGGTGCTGCAGTATGCCAGAGTGAAGAAGGTCAGAGGGAAAAAGACCAAAGCCAAAGGTCTGAATGCTAAAGAGCGCAGGGAGCTGAAAGTGTTCCAGCTGAAACCGGAACATCAGAAGTGAGTATCAGACATTTTCACCAGTTTTCTGTTACAGTTAGAGTCAAAACACACCACGAGGACAAAACACCATAGGATGAGTATGTCGCGGGGAGGGGGAGGTGCAGAACTGCGCCATCTGCTGGATGCACTGAGAACAGTATTTCAGTCTTTTACTCACATAGGCTGTGTTCACATTACCAGGCTGAAGTGGCACAAATCTGATTTTTTGCCCTACTGTGACTCAGATCTGATGTTTTCAGAGCTGTGTGGACACAAATCTGATCTTTTCAAATCCGACCTGAGCTATGTTCGCTACGTTCACATTACAAGCCTCTTTGCTCAAATCTGTTTTTTTGCTCAGATCCGATCTCTCTGACACGATGATTTAGACTCGTTTAGGTAAGTGACTCAAATCTGTCATTAATGCGAACAAACCGGCGTCCTGAAACGACCCGCATGAGCTCATCCTACTCAGTAACGTCACGTGAATGAATTGCGTGCGTCACGTGCATCATCAACAACTAGGACCGCATATAAAATGTGACTCGGGTCAGATTTGAAAAGATCAGATTTTTGCATCCACACAGCTCTGAAAACATCAGATCTGAGTCACATTTGGGGAAATAATCAGATTTGTACCACTTCAACCTGGTAATGTGAACGTAGCCTTTCGTATGTGGTCCTAGATCGGACACGTATCCGATGCGACCATGCAACCTTAATGTGACACTCGGATCGGAATTCATGTGTTTTTTTTCCACTGCGCTGCGCCGTCATTCAGCGTTACCATGGCAGCAGCGCCGGACAGAAGTTAAAGCCTGTAAACGGTGGAAAAGCAGCTCATCTCACCTTTTTCTCCTTCGTCTCGCTCTAATAATGAAGCTGAGAGCTGATCAGAGTTAATGATCTTCTCAGCGAAGCTCGTTCTGCTCGTTAGTTTGTGCTGATGATGAACGTGATTCGTTCATGTGACGTTACTGAGTAGGATGTGCGCATTCGGGTCATTTCAGGACGCCGAGCATGGGATGAGCATGTGCCAAAATAACAAACAAACAAAATAACTAATGATTTGTAAAACAAACTAACCTGGAAATAAGTGTGCGGGCTCCCCTGGGCTTCAATGACAACTGCAAGAGCCGGCGGGAAGGCGGGGCCGGAACCCCAAACGCCATCGAGGGACGCAAGTGACAGCAGGAGGAGGACGTCAGCCACCAAAGCAACGACGACAGCCACAAGAGGAACAAAGGTCTCAAACCTGCTGCCCATGTTTATCTTCTAAATGATGATTATTTATCATAATATTTTAAAAAAAGCCGCAGCACAGCGTTTGACTTTTACCCTGCGTCTTATTCTGTGAATTTATTGGCTGGTTGTAAAGCAGAAATCCGATTACTGTCTGACTCATGTAGACTTGGGGTTTTCCCATTATCTGATTACCCAAGAGCATGAAAACACTGAACGGGTTACTGACTCTGTCTGATTTTCTGCAGTTATCGGATTATTAAGTGTAAACACACCCAACTACTCATTCATTGTTAACGTGTGCTTTGAGCGCAGACAGCAGGGGGCGCTCTGATCACTTTCCGTTTGTGATGTGACCTGCATTATTTTTTGACCGGACTTCTTGTAACTGGGTTGATCCAGACATTCTGCTCCACAGAGTAAAACATTTACAGGCATAGTTTACCGTATTTCCTCTTATTCAGGCCTAATCACGGTTCGTTTGTGCAGATATGAACTTTTCTTGCCGCTGCATGAGCTGTGGAAGCAGTACATAGTGGATCTGTGTAACGGACTCAAACCAGGAAGGTGAGAATCGAAAGATAATACATTTTTCCCCAAAACTGTCAGCGTTATAATCTTTATAATCTCTATTATACAATCTAATGTACTCCATAAAAATGAGAACTGAAAAAATAACTAATTTCTCCTCAGTACTGTCAGCTTTAATCTTTGTAATCTCTATAATCTCTTATACAGTGTAGTACTACTGTATAACAGTGAGACCAGAAAAATAATCCCCTCAGTGCTGTCGAGTCTCTAACTGTGTCTTCCTTTTGTTTGTTTGTATTTTTTAACGACAGTAACCCGCAGATGATTCAGCAGAAACTCCTGAAGGCTGATTTTCACGGCGCTGTTCTGACAGGTTGGCTGCGTTTGGAGTTTTGTTATTATTATTATTATTATTATTATTAGTAGTAGTAGTAGTAGTAGAGAAGTATAATAGTCTTCATTAATATAGCACCTTTCATACATTAAAATGCAGGTCAATGTGCTTCACAATACAAAGTAAAGACAACAGGAAGAAGAGAAAAAAAGTTAATCAAAAACAAAAAATAACAAATAATAAAAAGCAGAAAATGGATATAATAACTACCATTAAAAAGCGGAAGATAAAAGTATAAAAATGGTTAATTTGAAAAACGTATGTTTGAATATGCAGTACATGAACGTGACATGATGCATGTTTCCGTTATTTTGTCCCACAGTGGTGCGATCAAAATGCCCGTCGTATGTTGGAACGACTGGAATTCTGGTTCAGGAGCTCAAACACGTCTTCAAGATCATCACCAAGGAGGACAGACTGAAAAGTAAGATCACACCACTTTTATCTGGAGTGTGAAACAGGAAAGGGGGGGTTCTTTAGAGGTTCTTTAATAAAGAGAGGTACAGCGTATAGAACCATGACCAGTTAGTGTCCCTGTAATTCTGCTACATTTTCCACCAGAATGTTTCAGTAGTCTGTTATTTCTTATTATATTCTTCTTACGTACACCGATCAGACAACATACTGACCACCTCCTTGTTTCTACGCTCATTGTCCATTTTATCAGCTCCACTTACTATATAGGTGCACTTTGTAGTTCTACAGTTACAGACTGTAGTCCATCTGTTTCTCTGATACTTTGTTAGCCCCCTTTTACCCTGTTCTTCAGTGGTCAGGACCCCCATGGACCCTCACAGAGCAGGTACTATTTGGGTGGTGGGTCATTCTCAGCACTGCAGTAACACTGACGTGGTGGTGGTGTGTTAGTGTGTTGCGCTGGTGTGAGTGGATCAGACACAGCAGTGCTGCTGGAGTTTTTAAACACCTCAGTGTCGCTGCTGGACTGAGAATAGTCCACCAACCAAAAACATCCAGCCAACAGCGTCCTGTGGGCAGCGTCTGGGGCAGCGTCCTGTGGGCAGCGTCCTGTGACCACTGATGAAGGACTAGAGGATGACCAACACAAACTGTGCAGCAGCAGATGAGCTATCGTCTCTGACTTTACATCTACAAGGTGGACTGACAAGGTAGGAGTGTCTAATAGAGTGGACAGTGAGTGGACACAGTGTTAAAAACTCCAGCAGCCCTGCTGTGTCTGATCCACTCAGACCAGCACAACACACACTAACACACCACCACCACGTCAGAGTCACTGCAGTGCTGAGAATGATCCACCACCCAAATAGTACCTGCTCTGTGAGGGTCCATGGGGGTCCTGACCACTGAAGAACAGGGTAAAAGGGGGCTAACAAAGTATCAGAGAAACAGATGGACTACAGTCTGTAACTGTAGAACTACAAAGTGCACCTATATAGTAAGTGGAGCTGATAAAATGGACAATGAGCGTAGAAACGAGGAGGTGGTCAGAATGTTATGCCTGATCGGTGAAGAACCCCATGATGGCGAATCTGTTGTGTGTCGTTCTTTGTAGAACATTTTAAAAATGGTTCTGTGTAGCACCAGCAGTGGGTTCCCAGCGTTTCGGGTCGTACGTCCGGTTATTTGTGCTCTGTAAACTCTGATCAGTAAGAATGAACCTGCGCTCTGTATTGATGACGATCAGAAACACCTGCTGTGTGTGACGTGTGTGTTTCTCCTCTCAGCCATCCCGAAGAGGAACAGCGTGTTCAGCGTGGAAATCGGTGACTTCATCACCCACATCTACGGGAGCAGGTTCGAGCTGCGGTCCAGCGAGCGCTCGGCCAAGAAGTTTAAAGTGAGAGGAACCATCGACTTATGATGAAGATTCAGAGGAGCTGCTGGATCTCTTTCTTTTTTTTCATGGATGTTTTATAACACTGTAATATATCATTGTGAAACCTTTTCTTTTTTGCCATTTTCTTGCTTTATTTTTATTTTTTGTGCTGTAATTTATTCTTTAAACCAGGGGTGTCAAACTGTGTTCCTGCAGTTCAGCGTTTCACTTTATTAAATACATCTGATTTAGATGATCAGCTAATTAAAAAGGCCTCAATAAGTGTGTTTACATGCACTTAATAATCCGATAACCGCAGAAAATTAGATTTTGGCAGTCATCTGATCAATGCATTTACATGGGGAAAACTCAGGGTCTACAAGAGTCAGACAGTAATCAGGTTTCTGCTTTGCAACCAGCCAATAAACTCACAGAAGAAGGCGTGACTTAAACGTAACATAAACCTCAAATTTCACGCAGCTTAAACGTCACGCCACTTTACCTGAAAATATGAACAAACATCATCTAGAAGATGAAGAATATTTAAATCCCTCATTTTTTTCAAGCATGTATTTGGTTTGGTATTTTGGCGTCGCTCCAGAAGCGTTTTGCTGCGTCTCGCGGCGACGCTGCTCGCTTATTTCCGGTTCCGTCATCTGTTATCACACATGCTCAGACTGAGCAATCCGAAAGAAATCAGAGTAAGAGTTTACAGCACTGAGAAATCTGATCACTGAGCTAAAATCCAGCCTCTTTATCAGATTTCTTAATCAGATTTTTAGATCTGAGTATGGTGTTTAAATGACCTTTTGAATAATCAGATAACCGCAGAAATCCGATTATGATGGGGTTATTGAGTGCATGTAAATGCGCTCATTGAGTTGATTGGAAATCTCTGCAGCCCAGAAGGAGCCCAGTTTGACACCCTGCTTCAAACTGTACATCTGCTTTTGGAGTTGGACTATGAGAAATTATATTTTAGTTCAAGTTTCACCCACAAGAGGGGGCCAGAGTTGGACTTTGCAATGCAGTACGCAGGACGATTTAGTGCTTAATAATATTAATAGCTTTAGTGATATCACACCTTTTCATATGTGAGTATGCAGCTAAATGTGCATTAAAATAAGATGTTTGTTTATATTTATTTGCTGTATGATTTATTCTTTAAACTTTTAAATGGCTCTACATTTAAATTGGGATGTATTAGAAATTTGGTTGTATTTCCAGTTTTTCCCACGAGGGGGAGCCAGTGTTGGACTTGAAATCCTTTGTTGGAACAGAGCACATAGAACATTTGAGTGCTTTATATTTCTCTTTTTGTGCTGCAGTTATTATTTTACAGTGTATGTTTGCATTTGTGCTGTATTTCTCTTTTTCCACAAGGGGGAGACAAAGCCACACTTTACAGAAGCTGAATAAATCCAGTTCTGACTGACTGCAGGTTTCGTCTGGTTTATCTGTAGCTGATCACCTGGGCTATTATTGGCTATTATTGATCACTGAGATGAGCAGATCAGTAGCAATAGTAATAATAATAATATGTTAATATTATGGTAACCAGTTCTACTAACCTAAAGATTTGTTGGTAACACTTTCTATGAATGTCACCTTTGTAAGCATCTATAAACACATTCATAACATGTTATAATGCATTCTTAAGGCATTATAAACATGGCTATAAATATTTATAAAAATGCATTAAACGTTATAGCAATGCTTATTATGCATTATGAATTGTTAACATAATACATTATAAGTACTGATCATAATAAATTATAAGAGCTCATAAGTGGTATTTGTCCGCTCTAAGTAAAGTGAAGCGTACTGTACTAAAGCCTCCTCCAGTGTTCAGAGTGAGGCTTCAAGTTGAAGTATTTACTGAAGGATTTACTGAAACACTAAAACATTCACAGTAAAGCACATTACAGGCTTCAAATGACAGAGTTTAAACTAGAGCTGCCATCAGTGTTTTACCCAATGTGGGAAAGGTAATGTTCACCACCGTTAGCTTGGTATTTGTCTTTACGCTCTCCAAGCTGGGACTGACTTCTTTGGCACTGACAGTATAACATGTTATCAACACTACTTATAATGCATTATATAAACAATTCATAATGTATAATAAACATGGCCATAAAGTGTCATCCAGTGTAATTCTTTTTTATAAATGTTTATAATCATGTTTATAATGCTGTATGAATGCATTATAACATATTATAAATGTGTTTATAGATGCTTACAAACGTGACATTCATAGAAAGTGTTACCGATTTGTTTTCTAGTGGTTAATAAATTACAAATGATTAACTTGTGGTGCTACTATTTGATAATGATTTACTCAAATTGCCCATAAATAAAATGATTCTTTCACATTTATTGGAATAAGATGTCTGGCATAATACTCTATGTAGCCAAAAGTATGTGGACACTCCTAATGATTGCGTTCAGGTGTTTCAGCTGCGCCCATTACTAACAGGTGGATAAAATTAAGCACACAGCCTTGCAGTCTCCTTAGACAAACACTGGCAGTAGAGGGTCAAACTGATGAGCTCAGTGACTTTCCTGCTTATGTCCAGCTAGAGCTGCCCCAGACAACTGTAAGTGCGATTACTGTGCAATGGAAGTGTTTAAGAGTAACAACAGCTCAGCCACGAAGCCGTAGACCACCAAACTCACAGAGTGGGACCGCTGAGTGCTGAAGTGACTGTCGTCTGTTGAATCATCACTAAAGACTTCCAAACTGCTACTGGAAGCAACATCGGTAAAAGAACTGCACATTAGGAGCTTCACAAAATGGGTTTCCATGGCCGAGCAGCTGCACACAGGCCTAAGATGATCCAGTTTAAAGCAGGGTGTCGGACTGGGTTCCTTCTGGGCTGCAGCTCTGCGGAGATAAACGATTTCCCCCATTTAACACCAACTCAGAAAGGCCTTTAATATTAGCTGATGAAGTTAATCAGATCTGTTTAATGAGGAGGAGCACCACAGTGTGAAGTACAGACAGTTACAGGCCGAATTTACAGTCTAACTAAACGATATTAGAGCTGTAAAATACAAACTTACTTATTTCATCTTGTTTCTCAGTTACTGCATTTCACATCAGGTGATAACGTTCTGTAGAATAATGTGAGCGATTACGCTGAAATTACCTAAAAGATTTGGGACGCTGTGCAAAACTGCAAATAAAAACAATATAATGATGTGCAAATCAGTAAAACCCTATATTTCATTGAAAATAGTACAAAGAAAACATATCAAATGTTAAAAACTGAGAAATTGTATTGTTTTTTGAAAAATATGTGCCCAGTTTGAATTTGATGCCAAAAACATGTTCCAAAGAAGTCGAGACGGGGGCAACAAAAGGCTGGTAAAGTCATGTAATGCTGAAAAAACACATCTCACAACTTCATCCATTCATCCACTTTCTAAACTGCTTATCCTCCTGGGTGGTGGGGGTGCTGGAGCCTAAGGCAGGAAACACCCTGGACAGGTCGCCAGTCCATCACATGGTAGACACACCCACTCACACCTAGGGGCAATTTATTGTCTGCATCTCAGAACTAATTAGGTTAATTGGCAACAGGTCAGTAACATGACTGGGTATAAAAGAGCATCTCAGAGTCTTTCAGAAGTAAAGATGAGGAGGGGTTCACCACTCTGTGAAAGACTGCGCCATCAAATAGAGCAACAATTCAAGAATAACGTTTCTCAATGTAAAATAGCAAAGAACTTCTGCTTTTCATCATCTACGGTACAAAATATCATGAAATGATTCAGAGAATCTGGAGAAATCTCTGTATGTGAGGGACAAAGCCAAAAACCAGTATTAGCTGGCCGTGATCTTTGGGCCCTCAGGCAGCACTGCATTAAAAACAGACATGATTCTGTAGTGGAAATCACTGCATGGGCTCAGAAACACTCTGAAAACCGGTACTGGCTGTGATTCCAGAGTCTTGTTAAAAGAGGTGATGCAGCACAGTGGTGAACATGACCCTGTCCTTTTTCAGGCTTTTCAAAAAAATAATACAATTTCTCAGTTTCAACATTTGGTATGTTGTCTTTGCACTATTTTCAATTAAATACAGGGTTTAAATGATTTGCACATAGTAAGTAAGTAAGTAAGTAAAGTTTATTTATATAGCGCTTTTTACAACCGGTGTTGTCACAAAGCAGCTTTACAAGGAAATCAGCATTAAAAAGAAAAGAAATCTGGGTCCGAGCCCCCATGAGCGTCGCCAGTGGCGACAGTGGCAAGGAAAAACTCCCTAAGAGAAACAGGAAGAAACCTTGAGAGGAACCAAGACTCAGAAGGGGAACCCATCCTCCTCTGGACCACACCGGATAGTAAACACTGTTAGTATAAAGTATTATAGTACAAAAACAGGGTAAAAGGAGGAGCAAACAATTAATTTGAATAGTTTAGTTATGAATTTGAATAGTTTAGGAGGATCATTATATTCTGTTTTTATTTACATTTACGTCCCAAATTATTTAGACACAGAGTTGTGTGAATATTGTTATAATCACTCATTATATTTCTGTTAGTTTTACCTACAGACAGCGTAGTTACTCAGATAAATATACTGATATTACACACAATCAGGGCTGCAAATACATCACACCTTCCTTTACTGTGAGCTGTTACTCGGTTATAAGATCTGATCTGACAGAATCCTCAGAAATGAGTTTAAAACCCAGAAAACACCACCTTTATTTTTGTACAGTGTGTTTATTTTTCTTCATCTTCTCTAAAATTGTACCAAAAATGAATAAAGAAAATGTTTATTTTTTAGTTGTTAGTCAAACTTGCAACCACTGTTTTATTACTCCATGTTATTACTGCCTTGTTACTGTTAGAAATAAGTACAGGTTGTTACTGTAACATTACTGTCTTTACCTGCTTATTACTGATCTGTTTAGTGGTGCTACATAAAACCAGCTCTGCTGAGGCTGTTTTTTTAAGTGACACACGTTTCTCTGAATGATCTTTACTCTATTTACAAAGTGCTTCATTGTTCTTCCCAAGAAGTGTTAGGACACCGAGGCAGTGCCAGTATTAATGAACAAGGAAATGACAGACAGATTACAAAACACATTCTAAACAGCTCCGTCTGCACTGATTATATCACTAATCAGAACCTACAAGACAAAACACTTCACTAGAAAAAAAAACAAACAAACTAGCAAAGGTTTAGAGACTATTACACAAACATAGAGAGTCCCTCCGTGTTAGTGTGTGTAAACGTCCATCAGGCTCTGTTTCTGACCGTGATAAAGGAGGAGGGTGTAAAATGTGCGTCATCATCCAGATAATCACTGACTCACTGACCGTCAGGTTTACTGTATATTTTTATGAAGGTCATTGTAGAACTCCTGACTAACTGACCTGCTCCAGATTACAGTTTAACACCTTTAAACACCTTTAAACGCTTATTAATACTGACTGACTGTGTCCAACCTGAATTAATTACACCTGA